TGGCGATGTTCATCCTCCAGGATTAGGTCCACGTGCCCCCCCCCCTGTGCTTGACTGGAGACAGTGGACGATATGGTGGCTAACCGATGCCCGTGGCGCTCACGCTGTTAGTTTCTATACAGATTGTCTGGGTGAGTATAGGAGATTCGGACGCCTCGGATGCTTTTCGTAGACTTAGCCTCCTTGTACCATTTTTATTTTCATTCCATTATGAGGCCTCATTTAAATAAACTGAAATAACTGTACGGTAGTGAAGCATTAGTATTCACATTTGGTGTTGCTGTCGGTGATTATGATGATCTAGCGTTTACACCTATCTTTCCCAGTTGGGAAATCTCAAGGGCTAGCATGACACTCGTCAGTGACGTTGCTTTCAGCACCACCTACTCTCATCTGTCATTGATGGTGGATCTACCAGCATGTTAGCAATGCAATATGGGTTTCAAAGTTACGCGGCCCCGAATGGCAACTGTAGAAATTCAGTCTCAATATTATCCATAAGACAGATGAAAATTCTGGAGAGCTCACGACCAGTTTCATCCATCCTGAAATTCCCGATTTTTCATCAATCTTATTTCGTACTTTAACATCTAATGATACTTTACGTATGGCGCGATAAACTCATTTGAGGAAGTACTCAGCTGAAATCCGCCTGTACCCGTGGTTCGCAATATTCCCGAGAGACCAAAATTACCCGATAAGCCTCAAGGACGGAACCGGTTGTCCAGAGTTTCCATCGAACCTATGAGTAGTACTGAGACATACTTCGATATCTTCACTAGTTCCAAATGAAACATAAGGTGGTCTTTGTGTCGCACATTTATTTGAAAGACACTATAAAACAGAGATGGAGATGAGTCTCGAACTAAGCACTGCTGCTCAAAGATGATAATGGAGGAGGAAGGTCTGCATTGATGCGTTGATAATACTCGAAGTTTAGAAGGCGGTCGGTAACAGTCAACGAAACACTGATTCGGTTTAATCATCATTAGGCTTTCCAGCTAAAAAACAGCTATGTGCGGCGCAGTTGTCCATATCATTTCCACCGCATTTTTATCACATTATCCATGCGTTATCTGTTTTACTCGACAACTTATGTACGACGGAACGGAAACATCCGGCACTTGCTTTTTGTGCAGCAGAGTCATTCGGTTGTGCATTTTCCTTATTTATGTCACGTGATTTCTCATACCAAACTTGTTCAAATTGTTTAAAGGACGGCGTGCCACTTCCTCAAAGAATCCTCCGCATTCTCTGGAATTATCCGAGGAAAAATATTGCAGGATAACTATCAACTTCTTCAGATTCACTCTCTTGAATCGTACTTGCAGAAAACCACATAATGACAGTAATCCGTTACTACTATTTGCAGTTATTTACTTTCGAAAAATTGGGAATCAAAGGAACGATTCCTCACAGTATGTTCGAAATTACGATAAGAACCATCGGTCTACACAGACATTGGTCGCGGAATACGTAAGAAACTGTCTTCAGCCGACATATCTTGTTTGAAATGATGGTAACCAAGTATAAACGTGTCATTAAACGGGAACTAAAGATTTCAAGCGTACTAAATAAGCAAGTCATCTGTTAGACATATTAGGGTCTATCCTCCGGCGTAAAAGTAATAAAACTACTGGGCTAACACTTTTTTGCAAAAGTTTATATAAGTAGGCTGAGATAAGCCTACTCAGATAGTTTCGAGAACATCTGAAGGAGGTGCTTGTGTTGTCTCCAAGTTGTTGAAGCAAATGTTACAAGTTCAGCGAAGGTAAACGGCGGAACTGAGACTTGGATGCTCTTTGCATGTCTAAGCGCTCTCGCCATGTCGTCCGCACAAGTTCATTGTTATGAGTGTTCGCTGAAACCACACAATCGGAGCATCCACATACTCACTGATTTTGTCGTTTATTGGATCATGAGACTGGTCCATGTGACAACCGCAGCCGAAACTGCGATATGTAGAGCTTAGGAACAGTGTTGTGAGTGACGGAAGCCGTGTGGCGGAGGTTGCAGCGAAAAAGTATTTTGCAGAGGCTTGCTGATGTCTATGGGCAAGGTTAAGGTTGCAACAAACGATTCAAGGGAAAAATAATGAGGTGTGGACGAAATGAATCAAAAGTCTACTCCAGCTTTTACGTAAACCAAATTGGAGGGGCTAAAGTCCTCGATGGGATCATTATAGAGAAAACCACAACTAGCAGCTAAACAGTAGTCTACCTGTTCAATATTTTTCATGCTCTCGTCAATGGTACAGTTGATATTCGTCTTTGAGAACTTTTCTGAGGCAGCGGTAAAAACAGCCACTTCATCCACGTTGGCCTTGAGTGCCTTTTCCATTCCTGTTCTGTTGGGCACCAGAGCAATGTACTTCGTTCCCGAACTCCTTGTGATACTACCAAACACTTCGCCAGCATCAGCCAGTTGAGGAACCCAACTGGGACGAACGAAACTCGACACTTCAATGTGAGTAATCCCAGCATGGGACAATCTTCGAAAACATTATGGATAGTCAACCAGGATTTACTTGTTCACTAGCTCCACCTTGACATGTGTTGGGACGGTCACTTTTTCATTCTGTAAACCATCCCGAGGCCCAACTTCGACCAACTTGATTAATCCTCTAGAAGTCGACAGACGCCGATAGGGAACCCAAAAGAACTGTAAAAAGGTAAGTGTAAACAACATATAGAATAGTGACTTGCATGTGACTTCCACATTGGTACAAGTTTCATTCAATAACTCTCAGTCAATTGAGTTTTTCGAAGACCGTTCTTCTGGCAACCGCAACTTCCAGTCACTAGGTTAGAAGGAAATGGAAATAAGAAAAACGCCACGAAGTAGAAAGAGCGAAATAGAGGGGAAAACCAAAAGCCGGTGTTTCAATAAGTAGAATAACGCCATCGATTTTTAGTTAGCTCCATTTGTGACATTCCCCAAGTGCTGGTTGGATGAATGTCTAGGCAGGCAGCAAACAACGCATTCGATATCCCTTTGTTCAGTTCATACGAACCGCTGTGCCTGAGGGAAAGGTAATCATATATGATAGAATGACGAGAAGCGGAAAAGTGTGGCAATGAAACGGCGAAAAAATATTGAGGCAAAAGGTGAAAAAAGAATGAGTACGCTACCGAGAACTGACGTCGGTCATAACTGGTATCTCTAGCCAGTATCGCATAGTTACCGCACGGTCCTAAGACATCCCCATAGATGACAACTGAGCGGTCAAAGTCGTTGTTCGTTGGTCTGCTTGCCTTCTTTTCGTTTTCGACTCCGACTTATGAGAAGAGAATTCCGTGGCAGCTATTATGGTTTGATCCCGAGGATGGGATCCAACTAGCGAAGTCAGTGACAGATATTTTGAGTTTACTGTTTTGGCACATGCTGTTTGCTGAACGATCATTCTTAGCTGTATCTTTGAAAGATATGTGGAGTCTGAGATTCTGCGTTAAACAGTTCACTTATAGAACGAAACGAGACTACAGCCATTATCGGCATGGAACGTTTTAGTTAAACAAAGGAGGATTGGGGAGGGTCCAGAAGGGGGTTGCAAAGAAATGCACGAGCAGTTGGTGTCTTCCAGTTGGAAAGCTGTGAGAGCACCGAATTTCTCGATAGGTTGTTATTGTTTGTGAACAGAAAGCTACGCCCCCTTGGCCATTTCAAGCCATTGAGAAGAGGCTGGGCCCTACTCCGACGTAAAAACCGTTCAGCTGTGGCACCCATTTGGTGCCTAGCTGCCGTGGTTCGAACTCGACCTCTGACTCTCGACTTCCCCTGTCTAGGCTTGGGCAACCTGGCAGTATCCCATGCCTCGTGCCTCCTCTGGGTGGTATGGCAGCTAAGCACTGGAAGCGTGTGGCAGCTGAACGAGTATCTTCTTTATCTTTTATCTTAGCCTTTTGCAGTTGGCTAATAACTCAGCTACTGCTGTTGTTGCCGGAGAGATGAATGTGCTCAGGCTCAATTGAGTGGTTGTCTTGGATTGTAATCGAGACGCACGAACAATGGCAAGCACATCAGCAGTTATGTGCTGGCAGCAGATTAACTTCTGAAACAACTTATGTCGCTTGATAACATGGCATCCTTTGCATGAGAGCCAACCTCCGACAAAGATAAACCATATCAACATTAGCTATGGCTGGCGTTAGTCAATTACTGACTGTCGGTCATTCTAGAACACTATTTGGATTCGGATCACACGCTTGTTCATTGCTGCTTTTCGTTGTGCTTTTCAGGGGCGCTTGAGATGCGCACAACGCGCCTGAGTATCAAGAAGCGCTCTGAAATTTATGTGAATTAACTTACAAAACCCACCTGCTGAAGTCCTTTTCAGACAAGACGTCTTCTGATATTGACTCTTACTGAGAGGTACTGTCCGTAACTTTGCAAGATGCTGGGTGCTCCGTTTGTGGAATGGTTCAAACAGCTGGATCCAGGTAATGGACGTCGGGAAACACTAAATTTCCCGAAACTTAGACAAGTATTACTACTGGTTGAGAGTAAAATGCCGTTCGACGAACTGTCAGACTTCAGGTGGAAAAAGCACCTACGTGGATCACAGGGGTTTGGTGGATCCCGAAAGCTAAGGAGGTTGAAGATGTGACAGCTTCTGGGAATGCGCGTAAACTACTCACGGTGATACTATGGTGGATCCCGAAAGCTAAGGAGGTTGAATATGTGAGAACTGCTGGGAATGTGCGATACTCGCAGCAGGTCCAAAGAAGCCTACAGTGAGTGGAATAATCATTGTTTCCTAATGTTTTAGCCGATGTATTGAAATTGTTAGAAGATGAAGGCCTATCATTCGGCAATCATCGTTCTCTATTTCTGGCTCAATCATTCTAGTGCACAACAATTTAATCTTCTGACAATCTGCAATGAAACGATTGTTTCGCCCAGCTCGGTTTGAGGCCGACCCCCAACGATCTTCTGCTTCGGAACAATGCATCCATTGGCACGAAACGTTTACGAGTTTTCTTTCATCAAACTTTCAAACGTTGACAAAAACTTTTGGTAAATTTTCTTTCCCTGTCCGTCTATCAACATGTTTGTGAATGTACTATTTAGGAAAACGCCGGCCAGATGCTCGGAGCGATGCATATTAAATCCAAAAAATGAAGTGTTTGCTAGTGCTAACTACTACTAAACAAGAACCAGGTCAATTAGTCGACGTATTCCTGCCAAAATTGCGTTGTTTTACCAAGGACTGCAACTGTCGTGCGGTTTCTGCCGATGAGCATCGAGATGAGGCTATTCGAGACGCTTTTATCACAGGTTTGTAGTCTAATTCCGCCCGTCAACGACTATTAGAAAAACAAACTCTTAAGCTTCAGAAAGCGCTTGATGAGGAACGTGTGCCTGAACAACAGTCACTCTCATGTGACTCGTCTTCTCATGCTACATGTGGTGCCGCATCTATCAAAACGGATAAGCCTTTGACTCCTGTTAGGAACACAGTTATCGCTCAGACTGACTCTAACGAAGCGAGTGCAAGCACATCCTTATCTTGCTTCTTCTGTGACAACGGCAAGCACATTCGTTCAAAATGTCCGACTCGTGAATCTTTCTGTCATTCGTCCGGTAAGAAAGGTCGTTTCCGAAAGGTTTGTCGATTCAAGCCGAGTTCAAGTCGTACCACATCGTTCGTGAACCCTGGTATCTCATCCATTTTCAACATCTCTTCATCCATTGGACTTTCCAAATTAATCTTTGATACTAATAGCTGCGAAAGCTACATTTCTTCCACAACTCACTGAACCATGGTTGGACAGTAACATCATTTTAAGAGCCCTATCTTGATGGCTTCGCTGAATTTATTTTGTGTTACTAGCGGTCATCTTTATGCTACCGTGCTGTACAAAAGCACGCAGTGCGAAGGTGTCAAACTCTCACTCTTATCTAATTTGTGTTCAGACGTCATTCTTGGCCTCATCATCATCATCATTGTCAGCTGTAATAACCGCGTACTCGTCGTACTGTGGTTGTAGCTGACGCAGTTTCGTTCACCGATGGTTTGGGGGGGGGAGGGGTAGGTAGCTGCGCGTTGCAGGCGGGAGCTGATAAATTGGTGCATAAATCCAGCACTGTCAGTGAGCTGTCAAGTGGTGAGGGGGTTGGAAATGGAGTTTTGCATTGAAGGCAATAGCTTGGATGCACGAGCGCCATTGAGGGCGCGACTGGGCCATATCTGACAATGTCTCTAGCCATTGATGTGGCCCGTCTCGGGGTCCCCATCCAGGAAGACAGCAGTGACCAGCGCAGCTAACTTTGCTGGTAATGGTTTTCACACTTCGGTGCCAAGTCATTGGTTGACCGCCTCTGACTCTCTTTCACCCTTCACGTGGTTTTGCGAAAAGAGCCCTTCGAGGAAGTCGGTCGACTGGCATACGCAGCACGTGGCCAAGCCAACGCAACCTGTGCAGTGTGATCAGTTCATCTATCGAGGGTGAGTCATTTCTCCCGAATACCATTCGACGTACTTCAGAATTGCTGGTCCGGTGTTCCCACCAGACTCGGGCAATGCTCCGAAG